ACAAGTTAAGGCTTAGAGACCCAAGCATGCCTCAGCCCATACAGGCTCCTGAAGGGTTATCTAAAAATTTGGTCCCTCTCCTAAGAGAAGTAGGAAGTCACTGAAGGGTTCTGAGGGAGGGATGACATAATCAGATTGACAGCTTGAAAAGATCACTTGGTACAGTGTAGAGAATGGATTGGAAGGGACATGAGTGGGCGAGGGGAATACTGGTTACAAGGCTTTTACAGCCTTCCAGGTGAGAGATGATGGTAGGCAGGGCTAGCAGGGTGGCAGTGAATAGGAAAAAAGTGGTCTGATTTGAAAGATTTAGGAAGTAAAGGGGCACAGGATCATATCTAGGGCTTAAAGAAGGTAAGAGGTTGAGGAAGGAAGGATGTGAGGGAGTGAGGATGACACGGAGGAGAAGGGTCACAAGAGCAGGGATCTTACTTTGGACAAAGTATCAACTTCCCTTAGATTCTGCTCACCTCCTCCTGTCCTTTCTTCTGTGGATCCCAGGGCCAGTCATCAGACTCAAAATCTCTGGATCATCTAAGACTCTCTTCTGGCCTTGCACTGACTCCTGCCCACTTACCCCTACCCTAGTCACACCTCATCAAGATCAATATTTCTAAAAGTATTGTCCCAGAAGGGCTTCTGAAGAGATCACAAAATGATCCAAAAATGCAAGTCTTTTCTTTGACTCCTACAGGCAACTGAAGCAAAATGCCAGACTTTGATTTTTTTTTTTTATGGTAACTGAGTTATAAAGGAGTACTAAAACTTGTTAGTCATAAACTAAAATTAGCCTTTAACTGGAGTTCACAGAAGACTCTAATTCAGTCCTCTACTAAGAAGTCTGCCTGCCAGGCAATGTTTGGCAATGATGCAAATCTCCTCTTGCATATACACATGCAGCCAGTTGGAATTCTTGAAATTTTCAGGAAGGACACTTTTTTATTGGGATATTAGTAGTGATGTTTTGAGCTGGTCATGGTTTATGGTGCCTGACATTCATGAATTTTAATTACAAATTATGATTCATGGAGCTTCATCATGATCAATCTAATGTGCCATGATTATTTGATTAACCCTCTGGAGTAGAGGGATACATGTCTCTAACCTTATTTCCTGCCATTTTCCTCCTCCCTTCCTTGCTGATCCAGAACATGTGTAAGCAAGCTCCCATCTCAGGAACTTTATACTTGCTATGTCCTCTGTCAGGAATG